CCCCAAATCCCAAATCCCAAATCGCAAATCCCCAAATCCCCAAATCCCCAAATCCCCAAATTTCCAAATCTTCAAATCCCAAATCCCCAAATCCCAAATCCCCAAATCCCTAAATCCCCAAATCCCCAAATCTCCAAATCTTCAAATCCCTAAATCCCTAAATCCCCAAATCCCCAAATCCCCAAATCCCTATATATCCCCAAATTCCCTAGATACCTATATCCCTCTGCACACCCCAAAATGTCAAAGTTCCCAAATTCTCCCCATTTCAAAAAATTCTCGCACCCCAATACACGAACACAATAATCGATCATAGAACGAACGGTATCTAATCAGCGTCCGTCTCGCAGCTGAAAAGACTTCGATTGGAGTTAGCAATCAAGACGAGCAGCGTCGAGCACTTAACAAAGCGTCGAAAAATCAAGAAGAAAAAAGAGAGGCAACGTTTTCCCCTCGATTTGCAGGCTCTTTCAGCGATACGAGCGGAGGCCATCATCGTTCGAAAGAAAAAACGAAACAAAACCGTCGTCGTTGGCCAGCGATTTTCTCTAAACTCGCGATACATCGATCCTCTCCGACCCTCTCCATCTAACGGTTCGGAGGAATTCTCGTTTTTTTTTTTTATTTTTTTTCATCGACGTCCGTCCGACGTCCATCCCCTTTTTCGTACGCTAAATACCGCAGCATCGCGAAATTAAAATATTGATCGAACAGCGTCGCGATGGAGAATACGAATTGCGGTGGATAGACGAGAAAATCTCTACGTCTGTTTCCAACGGATCGACGAACCCTGCTGCCCTCACCCCTTCGACCCCCTTCCGGCCACTTACGGGCCTCGAAGGGTGCCGCAGTGAGAAATAAAAAGAGAAAGGAAATGGAAAGATCCTGGTCGAATATTCGAATGTCAATGACTGGGTCGAACGCCAAACTTTACTCGATATCGACAGTTCCACGATTTCCGTTCACTTTTCAAACGCGTTTCTATGTACTGCTTTTCGCTCGTTTGTTTTTCACGGGAGATTGCATTTTTGCGATACGATGCTTCTTGCTTTGTAGGTTTATTGGGTCGAGGATGACTGATGCATGATTGCGAAGGATTGAGAGTTTAGGGGTGTAATACAGTGACTAATCAAGGAGGTAAGAGTACAATGATTAATAAGGGATGTAAGATGGGGAGCATTTATGTCGTATGTTGATTATAGATGTTTCTTTCCTTATTTTCTAACCTAACTAATTTAGTATAAAGGCTCTGATACTGTTGCAAAACTGTGCTTATGGTACGACAGCTTAGAGCTTGAAACTTGAGAAAAATGTCTACGTAAAGATTTTTACGGATATTTTTAATAGGAAGTGACTTCCAGTTACTGATCTTTTAAACCAAGTCTGAGACTTGATACAAAAATGTAAACGAAAAGTCATGACAGAAAAGTTTAACAGAATGACACTTGTGATACGTCAAATTAAAGCTTGAAGTCCAAAGAAAATGCCTACATAAATATTTCATAGCTGTTCTTAAGAAAAAGTGACTGATTTGCAGTTGTATGGCTACATGACCAATTTCAAGATATATTAAGCTTGATACTTGATACAAAAATATAAACGAAAAGTCATGACAGAAAAGTTTAACAGAATGGTGCTTATGATACGTCAAATTAAAGCTTGAAGTCCAAAGAAAGTGCCTGTATAAATATTTCATAGCTGTTCTTAAGAAAAAGTGACTGATTTGCAGTTGTATGGGTACATGACCAATTTCAAGATATATTAAGCTTGATACTTGATACAAAAATATAAACGAAAAGTCATGACAGAAAAGTTTAACAGAATGACACTTGTGATACGTCAAATTAAAGCTTGAAGTTCAAAGAAAATGCCTGTATAAATATTTCATAGCTGTTCTTAAGAAAAATTGACTGATTTGCAGTTGTATGGGTACATGACCAATTTCAAGATATATTAAGCTTGATACTTGATACAAAAATATAAACGAAAAGTCATGACAGAAAAGTTTAACAGAATGGTGCTTATGATACGTCAAATTAAAGCTTGAAGTCCAAAGAAAATGCCTGTATAAATATTTCATACGTATTCCCAAGAAAAATTGACTGATTTCCAATCACATAGTCAAATGACAATTTCAAAAACAGATCAAGCTTAATACTTGATACAAAAATATAACTAAAAATTCATGACAGAAAAGTTTAACAAAATGACACTTATGATACATCAAATTAAAGCTTGAAGTCCAAAGAAAATGCCTGTATAAATATTTCATACGTATTCCCAAGAAAAATTGACTGATTTCCAATCACATAGTCAAACGACAATTTTGAAAACAGATCAAGCTTAATACTTGATACAAAAATATAACTAAAAATTCATGACAGAAAAGTTTTACAAAATGACACTTATGATACATCAAATTAAAGCTTGAAGTCCAAAGAAAATGCCTGTATAAATACTTCATACGTATTCCCAAGAAAAATTGACTGACTTCCAATCATATTAACAAATGACAATTTTGAAAACAGATCAGCTTAATACTTGATACAAAAATATAACTAAAAATTCATGACAGAAAAGTTTTACAAAATGACACTTATGATACATCAAATTAAAGCTTGAAGTCCAAAGAAAGTGCCTATATAAATACTTCATAGGTATTTCCAAGAAAAATTGACTGACTTCCAATCACATAGTCAAACGACAATTTTCAAAACAGATCAAGCTTAATACTTGATACAAAAATATAACTAAAAATTCATGACAGAAAAGTTTAACAAAATGACACTTGTGATACATCAAATTAAAGCTTGAAGTCTAAAAAAAATACCTGTGTAGACATTTTGATAGTGTTCAGAGTTAAAGAAGCAAAAGACTTACCTGGAGCTCCTCCTTGCACTGGCGTTCTTCTTCGAGACTCATCCGCTTCTCGTGTTTCTTGTAGTAACGCCTCTTGGCGGCTTGTAGGTTGAACCACGTGTACGAGAAAGACTTCACGAACGGTAGGAGGGCCTCAATGAATGGATGGAACTCATCCTGCGAGCAAACGACAACAAACTGATTAGTGACGCCTTATGCATTTCACCCCATCGAGAACGAGTTATGTTTCTCTCGTCAACCACTCACAGATTTCTTTCATTTTTTATACTATTAGTATACTATCACATTACTTCGTACACTATTAGTGTACTATGACATTACTTCATATGCTATTACTATACCATCAGTACATTTATTATCAAATAATTTTATTTTGTAAATGAAACTTCTCTGAGACCTTTGGTTGACTATAAAGATTAGGCTATGGGGTTGTCTGTAAATTTATTCAATTGGGTAGGAACATATCCTCGTTCTCGACAGGTAGAAATTTCATGAAGAAAAATATTTCAGTTTTTAATATGTCATCATGCATGATCTTTAGTTTGCAATATTTGGGATCAGCCTTCATGCAATTCAATTGGATTCACTCATGCAATATCCTTCAATGAAATATTCCCTCACATACAAACAATTTCTTCACACATTCTCTATCTCTTTCACAAAATTTTTGTACAGAGTTTGAAGGAGAAAATTTATTAAACAAAAACATAAATAAAATTGAAGAACAAAATTTGTCTAACTAAAACATAAATAAAATTGAAGAACAAAATTTGTCTAACTAAAACATAAATAAAATTGAAGAAACAAAATTTGTCTAACTAAAAAATAAACAAAATTGAAGAACAAAATTTGTCTAACTAAAACATAAATAAAATTGAAGGAACAAAATTTGTCTAACAAAAACATAAATAAAATTGAAGAACAAAATTTGTCTAACTAAAACATAAATAAAATTGAAGAACAAAATTTGTCTAATTAAAACACAAATAAAATTGAAGAACAAAATTTGTCTAACTAAAACACAAATAAAATTGAAGAACAAAATTTGTCTATCTAAAACACAAATAAAATTGAAGAAACAAAATTTGTCTAACTAAACCATAAATAAAATTGAAGAAACAAAATTTGTCTAACTAAAACACAAATAAAATAGAAGTCGAAAATTTGTCTAACTAAAACATGAACGAAATTAAAAAAGAAAATTCATGTAAGTAAAACATAAAGGGAATTAGAAATAGAGAGGTTGATTTGGGGTCAGACTTAAATTATAACGGAACGTTCCCCGATAAAAGAAATCGAAAAAGAAAATCACGGACGTCCGAAGGAAACCCGTCCGTTTTCCCTTATCGTAGCTTCGAGCTGTTCCGGAATCGAAACGCCGGCGAATCTCAGTTTCCGGTCCGCGGGACGAGAAAAAGAAGACTGCTCGAGCTTCTGTCGATCGCTCGAAGAACGAATTCCTTTGTGAGGCAAATGCCACCGAGCAACCCCCTCGTTTATCGTCGAAAGGGATGTAAACATCATTTTACGAGAATGAATCTATCGTTCGACTCCCTGTCGATCGATCTCGATAACTTATAGTCACTTTTCAAGCTCGTCGAGTCTTTATAAAGAGACATTTTATGTAAGGAGAAATTGATACTGATATGTAACAAAAGTATAAGTTTGTAATTGTTTGATTGTTTATAGAGGGACAGTTTTTGTAAGAAGCTTTGGAGACTGACAGGGAATGTACTCTTTGTGAGTAGTTGCTTAAACCGCCGCTAGAGGGACGGCAGGTAGACCTTTCTCGCAAGTAGTGACTCGTGGTTTCGTCCACTCTTGGACATTTTCCTTTCAAGTCTTTTAAAGTTGATTTTCTGCAGCGAGTGATTAAAATTGTTTAAGAAGAATTAATCTGAACCGTGAAAATTTCTTTGGCAAATATTATAGAGCACTTTGGCAAACATTATAGAGGTAATCTTATACTGGGAAATTTTTGTATCAAACAATTTAGATGTAACTTAAACTTAAACACCTTCATGAAATATGGTAGAACTCAAGGCTAAGCTGGAACGTAAAAATGCTTGAATGTAACAACCTAGACCTAATTTAAACATAACAGATCCCTTCATCAAGCATCCCAGACTTTAAAACCAAGTTGAAACTCAAAACTGCTTGAATCTAACAACCCAGACCTAACTTAAGCTTTAAAGAAACACCCTCATCAAACACCTTAGAGCTCAGAACCCAACTGAAACCTAAGAATCTTTGAATCTAACAACCCAGACCTAACTTACGCGTTAAAGAAACCCCTTATCGAACACCCCAGAGCTCAGAACCCAACTGAAACCTAAGAATCTTTGAATCTAACAGCCCAGACCTAACTTAAGCTTTAAAGAAACCCCCTCATCGAACACCTCAGAGCTTAGAACCCAACTGAAACCTAAGAATCTTTGAATCTAACAGCCCAGACCTAACTTAAGCTTTAAAGAAACCCCCTCATCAAGCACCCCACAGCTCAGAACCCAGCTGAAACCCAAAAATCCTTGATTCCAACAACCTAGACCTAACTTAAACTCAAAAACCCAACTCCCCAAGCACCCCAGAGTTTAGAACCCAGCTGAAACCCAAAAATCCTTGATTCCAACAACCCAAACCTAACTTAAACTCAAAAACCCAACTCCCCAAGCACCCCAAAGCTCAAAACCCAGCTGAAACCCAAAAATCCTTGATTCCAACAACCTAAACCCAACTTAAACTTGAAAACCCTCTTCATCACGCACCCCAAAGCTCAGAACCCAGCTGAAACCCAAAAATCCTTGATTCCAACAACCCAAACCTAACTTAAACTCAAAAACCCAACTCCCCAAGCACCCCAGAGCTCAAAACCCAGCTAAAACCCAAAAATCCTTGAATCCAACAACCCAAACCTAACATAAACTTAAAAACCCTCTTCATGAAGCACCCCAAAGCTCACAACCGAAGCTTGAACCCCAAAAATACTTGCATCAGGCTAAAGTAAAGAGCTGAAAAAATTCCTCCAGTAAATTCAGGAAGATTGAAGGATGAAAAGCAAGGAAGAAGGAAAAGAAACACACAGAGGCTAGGCCAGTGAAGAAGCGTCAAAACGACACGAACCATCGAGTATTCGCAAGCACTGCGGCTGCTGTGGCACACTACCGTCTGTCTGTCCCTGTTGCCGTCCGGCTGTCAGAAGTACCGATTTTCGCAGTAACAACCGTCAGGCTCGTAATACTCCTCCGCCACCCTGTCGCAGATTGATCGTGGCCTCATCTGCGCTCCCTCTCTTATCCTCTTCTTCTTCTCCTCTCCGAACCAAACAATCGAGTCGAACTCGATCTTCCTCTTGTTTTCCCACGGAAAAATTTCACTGGATTTTCACCCGAGATTTCTTTCGCGATGCTTGCCTCTCGTTAGCATGCTTCGTTGGAGAGGCGAGCAAGGGTTTCTCTTCGCCTTCTCCTACGAGGATTTATTGGCTTCTTCGACGAGACACGGACCACTTTTTTCTCCTCTTTCCTTCCGACTTACGGCTTTCTCTGCGGGGGAAAGCTTTGTCACGATTTTGATTTTAGGAAAACTCGATCGTGGCTTCTTTTCAAAACTTCGATTTCGAAAAGTAACTTTAAAAACGTTACTTGTCAAGTAACTAAACCTGTCAATTAAATAAACTTGTCAAGTAAGTAGACTCGTCAAGTAACTAAACCTGTCACTTAAGTAAACTTGTCAAGTAAGTAGACTCGTCAAGTAACTAAACCTGTCAGTTAAATAAACTTGTCAAGTAAGCAGACTCGTTAAGTAGCTAAACATGTCAATTAAATAAACTTGTCAAGTAAGTAGACTCGTCAAGTAACTAAACCTGTCAACTAAATTAGCTTGTCAAGTAAACAGACTCGTCAAGTAACTAAACCTGTCAGTTAAATAAACTTGTCAAGTAAGCAGACTCGTTAAGTAGCTAAACATGTCAATTAAATAAACTTGTCAAGTAAGTAGACTCGTCAAGTAACTAAACCTGTCAATTAAATAACCTTGTCAAGTAAGTAGACTCGACAGGTAACTAAACCTGTCAATTAAATTAACCTGTCAAGTAAGTAGACTCGTTAAGTAACTAAACCTGTCACTTAAGTAAACTTGTCAAGTAAGTAAACTCGTCAAGTAACTAAACCTGTCAATTAAATAAACTTGTCAAGTAAGTAGACTCGTCAAGTAACTAAACTTGTTAATTAAATTAACAATTGTTAAGTAACTAAACCTATCAAGTAACTGAACTTGTAAAATTAGTAAGCTTGTCAAGTAAGTAAATTTGACAAGTAACTAAACTTGTCAAGTAAGTAAACTTGTCAAGTAACTATACTTATCAAGAAAACTTGTCAGTCAAGTAACTATACTTATCAAGTAAACTTGTCAAGTAAGTAAACTTATCAAGTAACTGAACTTATCGAGTAAGTAAACTTGTCAAGTAACTAAACTTGTCAAGTAAGTAAACTTATCAAGTAAGTAAACTTGTCAAGTAACTATACTTGTCAAGTTACTATATTTATCAAATAAACTTGTCAAGTAAGTAAACTTATCAAGTAACTAAACTTATCGAGTAAGTAAACTTGTCAAGTAACTAAACTTATCGAGTAAGTAAACTTGTCAAGTAACTAAACTTGTCATGTAACTGAACTTCTCAAGTAACTAAACTTCTCAAATACCTAAACTCGTCAAGTAACTAACCCTGTCAAGTAACTAAACTTGTCAAGTAACTAACCCTGTCAAGTAACTAAACCTGCCAATTAACTAACCCTATCAATTAACTAAACCTACCAATTAACTAACCCTATCAAATAACTAAACTTCTCAATCACCCAACCTCGTCAAGTAACTAAACTTCCCAAATACCTAAACTCCTCAACTAACCCAACCTAACTAACCCTATCAAGTAACCAAACCGTTCAAATACCTAAACCTTAATTAACTAAACTTGACTCTTCTAAAAAGTTTAAACAGAAATTTTGAAGATATGAATGCTAAAAGATTTAGTCGAAGATTTGTGCAAAGGAGAAGAAAATACGTCAGAGTCGATTTTCGGAGCGTGTCACGCGCGCCCGCTCGCTTTGTCACCGCTCGGGGAACGCAAAGCGGAAGGTTCGCACGAGAGGAACGGAGAC